TCCCCAGGCCACCCATGGGATCAAGCCTTGGTCTTACAAGTTAGGGTAGGAGGTGGCCTCTCGGAAACCTCTCCAGGGAAGTGCTGGCTGTGGAGCCGCAAACCTCAGGGATCCTAGAGGCGGTGCAGCAAAGGGGATCCCAAGGAACACGTCCACAGGTGTGAGGCTTCCCAGCACAGAGACTTGCTTTCCTCGGACCCCGCTGAGCCTGGTGTTCCTGGTTGGCGCATCAGCAGCAAGCCCTAAAGGAAGGCATGGGGAGAATCAGGAACTAGCTAGGGAGAGGCAGGGGTGTCGTCCCAGTGTGGGGTGCTCTTTCTTCACCACGACTGTGCAGTAGGAAGTATGTGAATATACGTTTAGTGAACCCACATTAGAAGTCGCTTCCATCAGTCAGTACCTGCTTCCTTTTCCCCAAGAGCTTGACACAAAGGTTCTCCCAGTGAACCCAGGAACCCAGGGCGATAGGGGCATGGCTCTGGAGACCCTATAATTCCAGACAATTTCCCACCTCCCATGAGCTTCACACCCACCAGAGCAACTATTGGCAAAAACGAGTTTCAGCTATATGGTCACTGACTCTGAATTGTTTTTTTAACATTCATTTTTTTAAAACTCCTTTCAGACCATTACCTAGAGGCATCCTAAGCAATAATGTCTCTGACCCTGTGGTTTTCATGAGTGAGGTAGATGGTTTTAAGTAGACCTTAAAATCAATACACACACTCAATCTGTTGTTGTCTGAGGGTGTCAAGTCCATTGCAACTCATGCATGTCAAGTTGAGCTCCTCCCTAGGGCTCTGGGGGCTGTGGTCATTCGAACGCAGATCACCAGGCCTGTCCTCTGAGGTGCCTCTGGGTGGGCTCAAGCCTTGAGCTTTTCAGCTAGCAGACCAGTGCTTAACCCTCGGTACCACCCAGGGATGCCATAAAAAAATGCATGGGCATTAATTAGAGACATACACATGGATGAACATTAAAAATTCTCAACCAGGTGCCACCCGAAATCATCGTATCCATCTCCAGGGGTACGCAGATGAGACAGCCCTGTGGGAGGCTAAATTTGGCCATGCGTCACAGTTTCCGTATGTCAGGATAACCTTGAGAAGGAAATTGCCCAGCTATTGAATTGGCAGGACATGGGGATTCTAGCCTTCCTTGTCCAAATATCGTTTCAATGATGAAAGTCTTGTCTGCAGCCAAAACCACAGCGATGCAAGCCCCGCATCACCCCCCCTCCAGTGCCAAGACGGAGGGTTCTGAGAGCCCTTTGTAGGATGCAAGCAGCCCAAAGGCAGGGCCAGAGCCTCCCAATCTCTACTCGCCACAGACGGAGCCTGGGGGCCCTGAGACTCTCAGCAACACATCACGACATCGGCCAGGGGCCCCCAGAGACTTCTGAGAAGTAAGTTCATTTCCACAATGAGTGTGTCAGTTGCCATTTGGCATCTTCAAGTTGATTCTGACTCACAGTGACCCTATGTACCCCAGGATGAGATGCTGCCGTTCCCACACCATCCTCACAATTGCTGTTATGTTGAAGCCTGTGGTTACAGCCACTGTCAGCAAGTATTTAACACAAACAAAAGCCTACCCCCTTGCCTTTGAGTCCATGCCAACTCACAGTGACCCTAGAGGAGAGAGTAGAACTGCCCCGTGGCAATTCCTGAGACTGTCACTCCTTATGGGAGTAGAAAGCCTCATCTTTCTGCCATGGGGTGGCTGATGGTTTTGAACTCCTGGCCTCTGGGTTAACAGTCCAATGTGTAAGCACTCCAGCCTTAGGATCCTGGTTCAATAAGTAGTCAGTGGAAAATCTTCTAAGAGGCCCCTCCGCCCCCTCCCCTTCCTTTTCTAAGAAACTCCCTCTTCTACCAGGCCTCTCACCTTTGGCAGCAGCTGCAAGGATCCAAACCACCCAGATCAAGTCCTGGCCGGGGTGCACCCACTTCCCACTTGGCTGCTTGGGCATCCTGGACATCCACAACTACTGCCAGCTTCTGAGAGTCCCACTCAGGAGCAAGAAAGAGCTCCTATTGAGTAGCTATTGAGTAGGCAGGTACAGGGGACAAAGCCAATGAAGATTATCCGTTGGCCAATAATTCAGAAGGAATTGGTCAAGCAGGACTTTCTTGTTCTCATGTACATGAGAAGAAGCTGATGATTAACTCTTGCACTGGTGAAAGACACTTTGTTGGCTTTGTACTCATAGGATGGCAGAAGTAGGAGGGACGTTCATCCAGGAATATCAAACTCACATACCTACAGGGACCAGGAAGGTAGCTAACTAGCAGTGAAATTGTCCAAGAGAAATGCAAAAGGAGTGGTGGGGACTGTGGCACACTAAACAGCATGCACTCTAAATAAAGGTAGTAGTGACTTCTCAACTCTAGTCCACTTTTGCCTTGTGGCAATGTTGGTAGACCAAGCCAGAAGTGGTTCTCATGCCTTGTAAAAATCACCATGTATGTCCAACACAGCATCTTTACAGATTGAATTATACCATGGCCCAATTCTCTGCTATTGTGATCCAGGTCCAGGATCTCCAGGGGGAAAATGAAGCAATCGGCTGAAGGATGTGAAGTTACTACTATAAGTGGTTCTGCTGGGACCAGTACACCACTCTCTGAGCTCTAATTACAGAGCTCTTTCTATTATAAGGCCATGCTCTGAGACATGCCTGGTGGATAATAGGAAATTCAGATCCCAACTCAGGAACATCACACCCATCACCCCTAGCCCAGAAGGTCCCATGACTCACTTAAGGTAAAGGGTCCAGAGTGGGATCTCCCAAAATTTCTTAAGTCTGGACTGGCAGAGTAAGACTTATTAGGACATTTGTTAACCATGGAACTTTCATTCCCACACTCTGGAGATTTGGATATGCCCTGGGAGTTAATCACAGGGTTAGTAGGTTGTGAAGCATGGCTTTAATGTACCTGATTCAAGAGACCTTGGAGTTCAGGTCCTATCTTGATGCTCCATCAGATCTGCTGTATGTCATTGAACAAACTTGTACTCTCCACTGGGCCCCAGGCTTCCCATCTTGTGCAGCCACTTTAGAATTACAGGTTTCAGAGATCACACGTGTGATACCAGGAGGGCCCAGAGCAGGGTGAATGGAGCAGAGAACATTTCTAGAAGAGTACAAAGGTGTTGGCAGGACAAGTGAGAGGCTCTGGGTTCTCGAGTTTTGTCAGCCCAAACTAGTGTCTCTAACTGGCCCTTTCAGCAAGGCTCTTTTGGCTACAGTTGTTTTAGCAACCTCCAGTCTCTTTGGGCTATCTTCCCCATCTGGCCTCCCCTAGAAGCCACTAGAAAGAGTGTCTCTGCCCTAGAACACTGTCTGGCCCTCTGATCTGAAATAATATTAACTTTCTACACTGTCACTCATTCAACACATTCCAAAGTATTATCTTCTTGACCCCTCTGCCCAATTGTTGATGACTTTCTTCTCCAGTCTTACCCTATAAAGCCCAGTCCAACCTTGCAACCAACCAAGCAGAAACACTAAACCCACTGCCACCAAGTCGGCTCTGAGTCCGCAGCGTTTTCAAGGCTGCAGATCTTTATAGAAGCGGAGAGCCTCATCTTACTCCTGCAGAGAGACGGGTGGGTTTGAACCTGGCAGTTAGCAGTCCAACACTTTACACCTTCCTAAATTCTCTCAAATGTATGCACTTTTCCCAATCTTTCTTGATCTCTAGTTAGCCGTGTGTGTAACTGTTTTACTCCTGGAGAATACATTGGTGTCTTTTTCATGCATGTAGTCATCAGAGCTTCTTCCATGGACATGGTGTTCCCAAAGCTCAGCCACTGAGCTGTCATCTTCACAATGCACAGCATCCCCACTAACAAGTTGACTGTCACTACTTGACTCTCAGAAATAGCAAGTGAAAATATCATTTACTTGCTATCTTTACTAAATAGATATGAAAACAAAACAAAAATCCTTTAACCCATTGTCAAAGCATATACTTGATACAATGGGGATATCATTCTGAAAAAGGTATACCAGCATTTTTTGCATTTATATACTCATAAAATCATGCTCCCCTTGCTCTGTGTGTTAGACAGAGTTCTCTAGAGAAACAAAACCAGGGCATTTAAGATTTTATATATGGATAGATTTATATACCATGAAGTAAACTAACAGCTAATTAGTCTATACAGCAGCACAGAGGGCTCAGTTCAACTCACTTTCATGGAACAGTTAATATACTGGATGCCCTTCAACTCACGAGGGCCACTGAGTCCAAGGTCAAGGAAGCAGACAGCTGAGTCTTTCTTAGAGCAATGCAGGCAGTCTGGCCGCAGTCAGCAAGCAGCAGGGGAGGTCACCAACAGTCAGCAAAACAACAGGATTCGACAACCCCAAGCTCGAGTGATGTATACACCAGCAGCGTGGCGAAGCAGGTCTCGAATGAACCTCAAGCTCTAGTGAGATGATCCACAGGTTGGCTGTCCCACAGGTAGTGTAGCTCACAAGTTAGGGCAGAGAACTAGCTAAAGCATGGCCCAGTCACAGAGAGCAAGAGAGCAAGGGGGCAGGCCTTGTCGAGCCATTTGTCTCTTTGCCCTCCAATCAAACTACTACCTGATTAATCCCACATATTCCTACTGGCCAGGTTGGCACAATAAACCTATCTATCACACCCTGTATCTCTCTATGAAATGCATTAGAGTGAACAATACCTTGAGAAGCAGAAGGAGATGTGAAGAGGACAAAGACACGAAACCTATCCCTCCTGCACAGTGGACTTTGGGTGGACGAGGAAAACAAAACATGATATAGGAAACTAAAACATAACCCCCATCTTGACCCAAGTCCCAACATGGAGAGATGTGCTAGACACAGGAGGCTGAAAGCAGCTGTGGTTTTCAAGAGGGAGGCTGCCATCAGAGGCCTCATCTCTGACCCAACGTGGAGGCAGTAACAGCAGAGTGGAAATGGTTGGACAAAAAAAAAAATCTGCCTGGAGGGACCCAAATATCACTCTGTAACCTTCCAGGGAACTCAGAGAGGACTGAGTCTGGGCAGGGAGCTAAATGCGGAGGTCAGTGGGCAACAAGGGGGCTACGTGGTTCAGACATGCTTCCTGGGATTGAGAACAAAGTGGAAACGTAGCCACATCTGGAGCCCAATGCCTGTCCAGGCTAAGGCTGGGGACTGAGTCAGAAGGGGAGGACCGATGGACTTTGATGAAGGTGAGAGAACAGACCCTGCAAGGTCACCGTCTGGAATGCAGCATTTTCCCAGGACCCCAGGGCAGAGGGATACTGTTGTGGAGGTCATGATAACGCTAGACCCTTTGTAAGGTGATCCTGCTCCCTCACACCTTTGCATACACAGCCCTGTGCAGGTTCTCCAACTCCTGCCGCTAGGTGCCATCTTGATAGGAGGCTGGGTGGGATGGGGATAAAATCTGAGAAACAAAATATTTATTTGAAAACTACTGGATTACTTAAGAAGACTTTAACTTATTGAATACATTAACAGTTTACAATAATATAATATTGAATTGCTGAATCTGAGTTTACTGGACAGACCTACCACTAACCCAGGAGGGGTAGGAGCCCTGATGGTGTAGTGGTTGCACGTTGGGCTGTGATTTGCATAGTTGGCAGTTCAAAACCACCAGTATCTCTGTGAGAGAAAGACTGGGATTTCAACTCCCATGAACAATTACAGTACTGGAAGCCCATGGTGGCTTGCTAAGAGTTAGCATGGACTAGATGGCAGTACGTAACCAATGAGGAGCCCTGGTTGCATAGCGGTCACGTAACTTTCAGGTTACTTCAAGGTTAGCCCTTAGAAACCACCAGCCTCTTCTCTGGAGAAGGGAAGCTTACTACCCCGTACAGAGTTACAAGCCCTGGAAACGCACAAGGGCAGTGTTAGATGTGTATAAAGGCGTAAGACCGCCAAAATGCATCTTCTATAATATCAGTTTGCTAGAGAAACTTCCTCATTCTCTATCTACATGGTGTTTTTTTAAGGTCCCATCTCTAATTATCCCATGCCCCCCCTGGTGTCTAGGACTCACAGTGAGAAAGACCGATAAGTCAGATATCAATGATACTAGTTGTCATTCATGCTAGGTACCTTGTAGGTACAGACACTAAGTCAAATGCTTTCCATCAGTTCTTAATTGGACCGCCTTAATTGTAACCATCCCAATTTTGTAGATGAGAACACTAAGACTTCAAGGTAGGATGGCATATCCAATGTCATGAGGCTGAGATGTGGCACAGCTAGAAGTTGAGCCCAGGTTTCCTGCCACCACACTGGATGTTGTGCTGTTTGGGGAAGAGGGAGCAGAAAATGAGAAGCAATCAGCAGATGGAAGAGGATAAGCTGGTTTTTGCAGTTCTTGGGCTATAACATATCATTTAATCTTCTAAGAAGCTTATTAGCCACTTGGCACCACTTCTTTGGGCCATGATGTCCCTATCAGTACCACAGACCAGTGGCCTAGTTGACCCCTGAGAGGCTCTGACTTTTGATGGGTTCTTCTTGTTCTCCTAAATCACTCTACTGAGACCCTGAGGGAGAAACCAGGGTGCGAGTGGTGACCTCACTCTGGGAATGGCTTAAATCCCATGCCTGCCAGCAAGCGAGATCAAGACTTATGCCCAGCTTCTTATGCAGGGAAAGCTTGAAAGCATCCGGGCAGTGGCAGTTGCCTCCTGATGGTGATAGAGCCTGAAGATGCATAAAACAAGGAAGAATGCCCCAGGGATGGCTCCAGGACACTGAACAATGAACAATGCCTTTCTCGCCCTACATAATGGCCTGAGTGGAAAGATTCCCAAACTTATTTGGCCTACCAACACCATTTCATTAAAAAAAAATCATTCAGCACCAGCCTGGTGATTAAAATCTTTTGTGCTATATCCCATATTCCAGAATAAAGTGGAGGTATCTGCTTTTGCAGCCCTTCACCCCCACCCCTGGTTCTTTTCAGTGTT